AGATTGAATTATCCAGCACATCCATTAATCTATCAACATACAAATATACACTTACAGATCAAACGATATGACTGCGCTTATCGTACTCCGTCACAATTATTTGACCGGCGCGTAACACGTGGAGATTGAAGTTGATCGTGTCTGTCGTTCCATTAACGGCGGTCTGTAGGAAAACAAAATTATCTCAAAGTAATCAGTTATACATAAAGGGCATCCCAAAAGTAAAGAGCAGCTCGGTCAACCATTGATTTTAAGGGTACGGGCGGGAAAAAATTGATCAGAGATAAGTCATATTTTAGGTAATGTCATGTAGATTAAGACAACTGATTTCAGATTTCATCAAAAAATCTTATCTATGTAATACACGAGCCGGAATCCAAAAATTCGGAAGTGTCGATTTTCACTCGCACGAAAATTCATATCGGCGTGATTAGAAAAAGACGATTGATTACTTCGCCAGGCAAGGAAAACGTAGATTCGTTGTCGACCTAATAATTACAAGATGTGAGCTTGCCGGTGACATGAATTGCAAAAAAATATCAGGTCAGGCGGTTATCCAGTCGAAGAAAAGAAATGTCGAGAAAATTAGGATGTTCTCAAAGAAGCGTCCCGCAACTCCATGATTGCCGTATCCACAACACAAAAGATATCAAACTCAACGATATGTCGAATTAAACTTCACGTCTTAGGCATGAAAGGGTGTGTAAAGCAATCGGCAAAGAAAAATGTACGGACCCAGCACCATCAAGCTAAAACAGCATGCAGAAAAATTTCCAATAAAGGGTTGAGCAAACTCGTGGTTATTTATGATGAAATCTAAGTGACCACTGACCCTGATCATGTTCCCGATCGTACATATTTTCAAGCAACTACTCCAGTAGATGCAAAATGCGAAGATAGACTAAAGCCAAAGACAATGTTTCAAAAGAAAACCTTGGTTATTCATGCCCCCGAACACATTGGATGAGATACACAAAAACCAAACAACGATAAAAATGTACCTCAAACACGTGGTATCGAGAACTTCTGGGCCAATTGTCGAGGACAATGTTCTAGACGAGAGAAAAAGTTTGCAATCGTTCGTGGATTTCGAAAGTTTGGAGCAGAATCGCAAAGGACATTTAGGAAAAACCGTGAAAACGACCCTTCGGCGGAGCTCGGAAGAACCTAATATCTCTAAGTTACAATGGGATAGGAAATTGGTTTAACGATTAAACTAACACATACAGATCCTAAGCTTTTGTGTAAATTTAGTTTCTTCGAACAAAATTGAATTACAACAAAATGAGGGCCGTTTTTCCATCTGCACTTTACATATGGGATGTCCTTTATCGTCGCCGTAGAGGCATAAGATACCAGGACGAAAACCAGTTGGGACCATAAAATACCAGGACGAAAACCAGTTGGGACTATGAAATACCAGGACGAAAACCAGTTGGGACCATAAAATACCAGGTTAAAAACCAGTTGGGACCATAACGTACCAAGTTTGTTTTTTTGATTTTTCAGGACAGGAAACTCGAACTCTTCGAGAACAGAAAACTCGAATTTTTCAGGAAACTCGAATCACATGATTGCTGGTTGAAGGAATATATCCAGTATTCAAGTGTTGCTTTTTCCACTGTTTAATGTTTCGTGTAAATTTAAATTCCATCCAAAAAATTTGAAATTTGGCATGAACATGTATGAATATATTCTTAATCATAATATGACATCAATTCCTATTCCGATCGCTATGAATTTTTCAGGAAAAATCAAAAACCACATTTTTTAAAGTCTTTGATTTTTCCTGAAAAATTCATAGCGATCGGAATGGGAATTGATGTCATATTATGATTAACAATATATTCATACATGTTCATGCCAAATTTTAAATTTTTTGGATGCAATTTAAAATTTAAATTTAAATTAAATAGTGCCCAGATCGCATAGATTGGCAATCTTGCCACGGTTTTTCCCGAGTGAGAGAAAGCAAAATCCTCCATATTTGACCAGTTTTTGAATTTTAATACCTTCAAAAATACTTGCTCAATTAAAATTTTATAAAAGCTACTGTGTGCGCAATTAACAAACCAATTTTTAGCAATTAAAATCTCAGTACGCCCCAAAACAGTCTTGGTATGTTATGGTTCCAACTGGTTTTCATACTGGTACTTCATAGTCCCAACTGGTTTTCGTCCTGGTATCTTATGGTCCCAACTGGTTTTCGTCCTGGTACTTTATGGATCTACGGCGACGATATTTCGCCTTGTCTGATTTCATGCATTTTGCACAACGTGCACGTTAGATGCAAGAAATATGGTTTACTTTATGTACTATTCGAGTGGAGTGTGATTTTTTATGGAAGTCGACCGGGAACTAAAAATTAGAAGCACAATGGCGAAAACCGATTTTGTTATGTTGGGGCATTCTAAAGATATCCTGCTTACGGAAGGACGGACAGACAGACAGACGGACAAAGTGATCACAATACGTAGCCCATGCTACTTAATAATTTGTACCTTTAGCAAAATTAGTATGAAATTGACCAGGTTCTCCATAACTATTCCTAGCACGATTCCCGCCAGAGGCCAGGTCGTAATAAACGGATCCAGTGCCATGGTGACGAGTATGATTCTCAAAATTATGGTGACAACTCGAATCCGCGTGAATTCAAAGAATCCATACTTTACTTTGAAGAGTTCCTTCTGTATCAGGAAGATTGGATCCGCACCGACAATAATTGTCACACCGAGGACAGCAATCCAGAAAAGATAACTTGCGGTCAAAGTCAAGAGTAGATTTGCGCTGGCAAACATTCTGTATTCTTTCCATTTGAAGGGTACTCTGCAATTTTGAGCTGGAGGAAACATTTAGATAAGATTTAATTTCGTCTACAAGCTTTCATGACAACAGGCAAAGTTCGATGATAAAATAATATTTTTTTTGCAAGAAAACAATCTGCGTTTAAATATAATTCCAAACGACAATTATAAAGATGGGGTAGCAAATATGTAAAGACAAATATGTAACCGACATTAATGTAACGACGTTCATGTAAACGACATTTATGCTTCCCGACAAATACTTATATAACCCGACAAATATGCAAACGACAAATATGAAACACATATTTAGGATTGCGCGACTTTCCGTCGGGTTATATATTTGTCGGGTATCATAAATGTCGTTTACATATATCTCGCTACATAATTGTCGGTTACATATTTGTCGTGTCACCAATGCAATAACACTGAAAACTCAAAACCCAGCGTAAACCCTACACTATTACATATTGTATACATACATAAACCCAGATTCTCACCTTCCTCACACACGCTTTCCGCCAAACCCACCAAATTATTAAAAACGAATGGAAATTTTGTAAAATTCCGAGAAAACAAGAGAAGTATTAAATACTGAAATGTGAGCATGTACCCCGCAACATGCATAACGATCTGTTGCCAGGCGAGAATTTCTGTCGCCTTGGTGTAAACAGAAATCACCATGACGCCGCAGAGGCTCGCTTGCAGTAAGCAGGCCGCCATGCCGCAACGCATCCGAACTTTCTGCCAAGACGTCTGAGCATGCGTCAATTCACCGTCAGGAGTAAATTGAACAATGTATGGGTTCCAAATTTGTAGGTTTTTCGTGTAAATTTCTTGCACGGTAAGGATCAAGGTTTTCTCTTTTTTGGATAACATGGTGCATAAATAAAGAAAGTTTAGACTTTTTAGCCTTTTAAATTGAATGTTTACTTAATATTCCCGTTTCCTGTTGCCCATCAGTTGGGAAAATTACTGTTATTATTTTCGAACCACTGTTTCCCCGATAAACTTAAACTGCCTTAAAACTCATGCCTTGATTATATTATGGAATATCCATAAAACTTACAGTGCATACCTCGTGCATAAAAATTTTAACCTTAAGGTGAACTTCGATGAGTCATTCATGTGTGTCTCATTCTGCTCCATGTGTCATGTATCCTTATGGAGAACTTAAAATTAACCTAACGCCGTTAATATTTAATTAAATGTAAATGTTTTTACTTTAAAATTCTATATTTTTAACTTAACAAAATTGTCCAGCCAGATTTTTGAAAAAAATCGCCTTCCTGCGAGGGCCAACAAACTATTTAGGAAGGAATATGTTTTCCAAAAAATCTGGTTGTGCAATTTTGTTAAGTTAAAAATATAGAATTTTTATACGTAATAATTTCATTGAATATTAACGCCGAAAGAATAATTTCAAGTTCTCCATAAGAATACATGACAAATGGGGCAGAATGAGACGCGCATCAATGCCTTATCGAAGTTCACATTAAGGTTCTCCTGTATGTGGGTCTCGAATTAGAATTTTTGTCCCTCAGCTTCCCTTCTTCCATGTATTCAAATGACGATTTTGAAACGTGGTAGTCTTTGGCTTTTGATAAAATAAGGATATCATTGTTTCTACCTTTCGATCGACATCTTTTCGATACCTTTTAGATTTGAATTGGTAGAAGGTTAAAATTACGATTTTTTTTCTTTATGAGAAAATAGAAACCAAACATAAAAATTAATAAGTAAGCCGAAATTAAATATTTACTAAATAAAATAATAATTCTAACCTCCTAGATAGCTTTGCAAATCTAAAAACCATCGAAAACATCTAAAAAGTATCGTCATCTGAATATGTACAAGACAAAGCTGAAACACAAAAATTCAAATTCTAAACCCACCAACAATGGAACCTTAATATTTATGCACTGTTTTTCCAGAACCTGGTATTCTCATAAATTTTGCAAGTATAGACAAATAAATAAGCCCATTTCCATACCTGATTCTTATAAAAAAGACGGAAAATTACCTTGTGCCCATTAATAATTACTCGATTCTATTCAAACATTCCTAAATGCCAAGTCAGTCAGGGTCCCTATTTAGATAATTATCGACTTTCCATACAACTCTATTTATTTAAATGAGTGGATTGGAATATTTACATGCAGAATATGTATTCGGCAAACAATTATATCTCGGTGTTCAAGATCGTGACGCAAATCCGGTTTAATTTTATTTCGACATATATGTACATAAATACATAAACGCATGAACCCATACCTGTTTATTTTCATTAAAATATGTAACTAACCATGATATGTATAATTAATATCTCTCTGATTCAAATGTGAATAATCGATTCCCTACTTTTCGGATTAACCATTGTCAAGTGGAAATATTGAGTGAACCTCTATCGAACAGTTGAATGTGGTCATAATCTATGAAAATCGTACATTGAATCGTACTAGTTGCAGTTTAGTATAGAATCGGTGCATAAATAAAAATCGGAATGGAAATAAAGACAGTATTACTGCTTGGCAACTGCTACTTCTAACGTTACAACGGTTAATTCTGTAAGTACTTGTGCTAAAGGGAAGCGATGCGATCGTCACATTCTGTCTCCAAATTGGGAAACCTGGATAATATTTTTCCCGTAAAACGTGCCCTAGTGCTGGGTGATGCCTGAGTCAAATGATTCTTCTCATCTTCCAGATGCCCCATGCCAGGAGGTAATAGACGCATTACGTCTTCGTCGGCCTGCCACACCTCATCGTGCAGGCCGGAAAAAAATGGCAACATTTTTAACGACTTGCAAGGCTTGGTATCTGACGGGAATAGAGCTTCAATCATGAAAAAGGTAGCCTCCAGATCGTAACATTTCTCACTTGATTGATAGCATTGAACTCCGTCGAAGAGAAGTCTGCAAAATGCAAATGATTTAAGATTTCATAATGTATAACAAAAAAATTCGCAAGCTACACCGTAATTTCTGACGAGTTATATTAAAAAATCGAGCCACAAATTAGGAATCATATGGCGCTTATCTGTCCGGTGAATGACCATATGAAGAAAAATATTAGCGACAAAGTTCAGTTTTTGATTTTTTTGTTGATTTTTCCTCCTAGGGGCGAAAAACAAGGCGGACTTATCCGCAAAGCGGGCATCCAACGGAAAGATAAATACCACGTGATTCCCAATTTATGGCTCAATATTTTTTAATAACTCGCTAAACAATCCCACTGTAGCTTGTCAAAAATGTGTTCCATTTTCAATTCATTTTGTGATTTTACGATTCTAGTAATGGAAATTGTATCGCGGGGTCATCGTCCTGCACTTGGGGAGTAAAATATCGGTAGCAAATGTGCGGTGGCCAGGGCATCTGGACCAGCTTGATTGTTTTCAAGCGAGGCATCTTCGGAAAGGCAATGGTCACCTTGGGACTGTCCATGTGCGCTGTGGAGGAAAAGTTTAAATTTTTGAGTCTAACGTTATTAGTTAAAGCCTAGTAGTCAGGACGGATTTCTCGCACGAAAAGGCAGATTCTAAATATGCGTTGTGTCAAATTACTCATAAAATGGAATTACCTTAATTTCACTACAAAGTGTACCGAATCGGCGTGTTTGGCTTTATTCAAAGCAATTTCAAGATGACACTGAAGTTTTACTAACTTTTCGCGCTAAAAATCAGTCCTGATTAGTAACGGCCGTCCATAAATCATGCAACGCGCCAATGACATCACGCAGGTGTGACACATCCCTAGTAAAAATTTGAACAGATTTCCTGCAGAAAATTGGCCCAATATTCTGCAGAATATTGGGCCAATTTATGTATAGCTTTATGTATAGAGCTTTCTGAAGAAACCTATGCAGAATTATGCATAATTATGCACATATGGTTCTGCAGGATAATAGCGACACACATTTTCTCCAGGATTATGTAAAACAAATTATGCATAATACAATATGCATAGGGTTTTTGTCGATTTCTGCAGAATTCGGCAAAGAGATTTCAACCAGGGATGATACACGGGGAGGGTGCATGACATAATTGATGGAAGTCCCCTTCTACTTAACCTGATGGAAATCTTTTTAAGTATGCTAAAATCTGAATACATACCAGTTAATTCAGTAATTTCCAATTCCTCCAGAGTTAAAGAGCAATGGTTTAGTAAAAGCTGGAAGAAATACACGTCTTCCCGAAATTTAGGGTAGCTAAGGCCCACGAAAAGCACAAGCCAGATTTTTGTGACAGGAATTTGTATCCAATGAAGCTGCCTCAGGAGCGGATATTGCGCCACGATTTTTTGTGTTACCCATTCTGATCGCACGACAAGGTTGATAGATTCAAGCGATGATTGTGCATCTACATTGAAAATATTTTAATTTGAATTTGCTCGTTTTATATGTACGTTTCGTTCGGTAGTACTTATTATACAGCGTGGTTTAAGTGTCACGTTACAATCATATGTACCTGTTGAAAAAAAACTTTTTTTTTTCATTCAAAGTTCAGTCATCCCGATTTCTTGCTGAAGATTTTCAATCACACTCATTTTATTTCACCTCATCCGACTTCATTTATTACTTTGCCCAATGCATTAAGCATAGGGTGAAAAATGAAAAGAGTAAGAAATCCTTTAGTTCACACTGTGAACTTCACAGTCACATATCTGAAATGACAGAATCTTTCACTCATTTTCATTCAAATAAATTTCAGAAAATTAATGTAACTACTGTAATTACTGTAATTTCAGAATTACAGGAAATTCATTTTCATTCACCATCATTCTCTGTAACACGAATGAAAGTAAATAGGTATGGAACATTTTGCAAACGTAAAACCCCCTAAAACTCCATTCGTTATAAGGCAATTGAATAGGAACTTTACTAATTTTCATCAAAACTGATGGAACTGATGACAAAATTGTTAAAAGTTTGAATTTCAGGGACAAAATTTCTGTAATCTAGAAATTTTTCCCAATGAATAATTTTCCACTGTAGCGTGACATTTTAACAACCCTGTATATGAATGACATTTGTAGATAATTAGTACCTTCAAACATTCTTAAAACGGCTTCCAAAACGGGGCAAATGTGATTTCTTAGTGATAGTACGGTCATCCTTGGGAACGTCCTTAGCATTGTTTCCGACTCGCTAACTTCTTGTTCCGGTGTGAGTTCATACTTTGACTCAGGGCCTGGATAAATTTGCTGGGGCACCTCAACAAAAGGACACGGCCCATGTATCCACAAAGTTAGCTCCTTAACTTTCGGAAATGTTAAGTTTCCGTCAAATACGGTGTGAATTGAACGGCCTGTAATAAAAAATGGCATGCATTCAGGCAGTTATTAGTATTTTTAATAGGGTCTTAACGGGTGAAAAATTTAAAGCATTTTATGCACAAATTTGGCTGGATTTTACATATACAGAAAAAATTTATGCAGAAACACTTTGTGCATAAAATATGCAGAATTATGCATAATCGTGCTAAACGTTCCTGCAGAATATATGTACCTGTCAGAAATTTTATGCAGAATCATTCATACACTCAAAATAAAAATGAGTAGAATGTACTCGAGGTTGGATAAAAAAGTGGACGACACAGTCAAAAGGTAGAATTTACCCAGAATTGGGCAAATTTTGCAGAAGGTTTGACAAATTTTACCTTTTGGTTGTGTCATCCTCTATTTTTCCTAAACTTGAGTAAATTTTGCTCATTTTTATTTTGAGTATACTTTTTCTCCGGGTTACTTAAAACCCCGAATAAAAACTAAGCTGGGATAGCTACATAAGTAAAAAAAAATATGTTTTTATGTTACAGGCACATAAAACTCGGAGATGATTCATTATGTACAACTACTTAATTTATCGATTGCTATAAAATTGGTCGACATTGTTGACTCAACAACATGGCCCTGCTCGGACATGATGAACTCACCTTCTGCAAACCCACTTTTTGAGAATAACACGGAGGACATAAGAATTTCCAAATCGGGCACAAATTTTGAAAACTTGGCAGCATTTACTTTTGAAAGACATCTCCAAGTCGCGTCAATATTTGATATGCATGGCCCCACAGCTGGCCAGCGGGCAGGCGGAAGTAGTTGGGCCGTAATGCTCGGTGCACCAGCTGCATCGAAGGGATATACATATGATTAACACATTATTCATCATCAGGCCCTGTTTAAGGCAATTTGGAGCCTTAGGTAAGAAGATAATGGGCCCAAACGTGGTGACTTATTCGGTACTTGGTATTTTTTCCCATTCTTATTATGTATACCCAGTACTCCCTTAATTAGTGTTACAAGAACAACTTGTTATAGCGAACCCAGTTTATCTAATTTCGAAAAAATAAGTTCATATCTGAAAAGCCAATGAAATTTCGTGTAAGAAACACTATTCACCTATCAAAATGTCAATCTTATAAGGCGACGTTGGTATCCCAACTCGATCGGAGTACGCACGCGTTCCAGCGGGGATGGACCTCATTTCTGTACCGTTGAATTTTTTATGGATTTCAAACTTTTGTGGGGTTTAGCACAGACACCTGGCTCCAGTTTGGAAAATATGTCATACTCCAGCAGGTTTAGGTTCGGCGACAGTGAATCTTTTTCTTGATCCGAAAAGAGGCACGAATTTAGAACTAGTACCACTAATATACTATTTTGACCTCATGAGAAGGACCTGACCCTTGCTTGAATGTCGCGGCGCTATTTTTGAACAGGTAGTTGTTCAGTGGTTCTACAATTCGCTCGAGAACTTGCAAACAAAAAATTTGATACGAAATACTTTTTCGACCCAAACCAACTTATGTCCAATCAAAAAATCGTAAAACCAGGATGGTAAGTACGATCAACATTTTTGAAATTTTTACGAATAGCCCAGACTTGTAGTGTGTTGAAACGGTATTTTTGATATTTTATTTGGCCTCACCCATAAAGGTGGGCTGATCTGTTTAAAATATCCGTTTCCAATTGTCAAGTGCGTACCGCATGATCGCCGCCCGGGTTCTGATGGGTCTGTTTTTACTTTGCGTGTAGCTAGGAAGTAGTTCTCCTCAAATCTTGAAGACATAAGTCCTAGGTTTAGCTTAAGGGCGCGGGACTTACTTTTCTTTTATCCATTGATTTGTGAGGGAAATTTTCTTAGAGCTCGGCATAAATTCGTAGGAATCCATTTTTTCGTGACTTGGTGAATTTTGGTGACCTTTTAGACCGTCTCCTTCCACTTCTATTTCGGTCATCGACACTATTAGTATCAGTGCACCATTTTATGGTATGGTCGAGCACCTTGCAATCGATTCCGATTTTTATTCAGCAATTTAAAAATGTCGGATTTTTTTGTTTACCAAAATATTGTTGAAAAATTGCAGCACGCCATGTTTTCTGACCTATCAATTTGGTTTCAAGTTTTTGAAACATGGCTTCTGAGGGACAATTGCATGGGGATTTCAATAAAAAATAGTACAACTTTCTAAAAAATTGTCTTGCCTGCTTAATTTAACCGGGAAATCCTGTAACAGCAATTGAGGGAGTACTAGGTATAATCGTACAGAAATTTACCTTTTGAACTAATTGCATTTGCACAAATCAGCTCTTTTGAAGTAAATTTAATTAAATATTTGTAATTAAAATGTTGAATATTTACCAATTTTTATATTTTGTTTTGCGCGATAAATTATAAAACTCCAAAAAAGTGGTTTTTACCTAAGGGATGAATTATGTCACGCGAGAGGGGGGAGGTGGGTCCAAGGCTCCAATGATATTGTGCCTACGTGACACATGTTAAAGGGAGGGAGGGGGTCTAGAAAATCGCGATTTTCGCGTGGCATAATTTATGGATCGCCCCTAATGTGCAAATACATACTCGCGCGCCACAGAAATTGGCGCCATTGGCAATTGCGTAACTCGCCTATGCCTAAAACAGGGTCTGATTCCCATGAAATTACCATTATCTAGCTCATACGAGAGCCAGGAATCCAGAAGAAAGTATCTGCCGTTTTTGTCTCGCTGATGCATATATTTCCTCGCCTCGTTCGCCCACTCGGCGCAAACGAAGGACAAATTGATCAATTCCTGCTCGTCCGAATTAGTCCAATGAGTAACACATGAGCGATCAATTATTATTTCAAATAGTCTGGAAACAATCTAGACGAAAATATCACTAATACTTAGTTAATTGTAAGTGTGGAGAGTTCCATAAGGACAATTTTTGAAAATGTGGTGTCCAAAATCGGGATAGGATATACTAAAACGGCTTTCGAAGTCTTTAGATGAACTAATAAATTGGCATTTCTAATATTTTGGGTTGAAAAAATTCACCGTGAATAAAGTATTCGTTCCTCTAAAGTATTTCGAAAGCCGTTTTGCCTTATATTTTCCCACCTTGCGACAAAAAAAAATTCTTAAAAATTGTTCCAGGAGAGGGGGAAACTCTCTGTATTATTAGCTCACCCTGCGTAGCATGAGAGCTATTGAATTCCTCTTGTCCGTCTGTTAACGACCTTTTTGTACCAATTGATGCTAATTAAAATGTACCATTTTTATGGTCCATTTTTTAATAAATGGTCCATTTTTTAATAAATTAATAGCACCGTTGGTATCTAACAATCGCTAACACAAAATGATGCGAAATAATTGGTGGACGCGATGTACTACGTATAGTGCAGAATCTCCGGGAGAAAGAGTCCTACAATTTTGACATAAAGTTTGCAAAATAAATTTTGGCCGTTTGGTCGCTCATGCTCCGCAGGTAGTGCATACTAATTCGGCCTTTTGATCATTTTTCCGTTTATATTGCACCCTTGGTGCAAAAATATATAAAAAGTATGATCTTCTTTGTCGGCTTATTCCGCACCTTTGGTTCAAAGTTGTCTAAATCATTATGAACCTTATTTTTTGTCGCGTTATTCTACACTATTGATGCAAAAAATCTCAAAATTCTACACCTACATATTCCGATTATAATGCACCATTGGAACCAAATTATAGAGTTTTAGACTTGTTTTGTGCACTTATTCGGCACCATTGGTGCAAAATTATATATCTACATCCTATTTTATATTGCAGGGTGAGCTACTTCTAACGCTACCACGGTTTATTACAGGATTAAATATTTAGTTAAAAGTATAAAGAAAATGCGCAAAAAAATTACCACGAAGTTTTTCAACGGATGTTGTCTCTCCAGGGTCACAATCTCTCTATCTTCAGCCATTTATAAGTCAAATACAATGAGCGTATATATGTACATCTTTAATTAACAATTAGTGAAACAATTAACTCAAGTACATAGATAGAAATTCTATCATAGAATTATTTATCTTAATTTCTCACACGAAAAATCTACTTGCTCAATTTTCCCTTTTCATAATACACATGTTCTTCTTCTAGTAGAAAACGTTTGCCTGTTAAGGGATAGGAAGCAAAAGTTATAACCCTTTCACTAAAACGATCAGGGTCCAATTGTTACAAATGTAAAGTAGGTACACATGTATGTATACATATTTACTCTCTTTATGTACGTAGTAAACTTGCACATGAATATATTTGGAAATATACTACCACGTAATGCATTTTTAGAGTTATTCAGGGATACAATGGAACATCCATGTATTACGTCATCAAAAAGGTGGGTGGATGGTTTCAGAGGTCGACGCCGCCGATCTCACGCTGCCGCGCCGCCATACGCCGATGCATTTTACGCGCCGCCGCGGCCGAAAAATTTGATTTCCCATTCCTTTACATTGCGACGCCGCGCCGCGCCGCCGAAAAATCACCAAAAACTGGCGCCGCCGCCGCCGAAAATTGGTCGGCGTCGACCTCTGGATGGTTTTACTCGTGGGAACATATTTCACTACGAATATATGTACCTGTTTATCCGAAGCTTTAGCACAGGAGAGTACGCCAAAGGCTAACTCGTAAATATGTATTTGCCTGAGAATTCTTAACTTTTCCCTAAAAGCAATGTATGGATGAGAAAAGTGATGTGCATACCTTAATTCGATGTATTTTTGTGTATCCTAATATTTTTAGCGAAGGGTCATATTTTCTATTTTCGATCCCTTAACGGCTAAACCTTTCTACTAAATACTTGAGAGGAAAAGATTTCGTAATTTTTCTGACTAATTTTTTTAAATCTGTGACATTGTATAAACTTTTTGTGAGAAATTACGATTTTCCGTGTAAGATATATGTAAATACAAATAATTAAATATTTACTGCCCATTATTTCAGTAATTGTTGTTTAGACAGATGCATATATTGTGCATACTCGATGCAAAAATGTCCCAAGAAACAAAGCTTGAGACCTGGAGGGAACAACATCCGCTGAAAAATTACGTGGTAAATTGGCATATATTTTACTAAATACCTTTAACAATTTAGATATTTAATGACGTAGTTACTTACAATAGAACCTTTTTGCAAGTTATACCATAATCTTCTCGTTGAATGGCCCTTTAAAAGAAAATACTGGCAGCAAAAACCAAGCCGGCCGTGTGAACTTTGACCACTACGTAATAGTTTTCCTTAAATGGGCCATTCAACAATAAGATAAGTGTCACGTGGCTCCTAATTTTTTGCTCTATTTTTTAAAATAACTCCCGGCATAACTTGCAAAAAGGTTCCATTGTTAATTTCACGTCTAGGTTGTTTCCCGACTGTTTGAAATAATTCACCAAGCCTGCACGCCTCATTGGACTGGGTGGTTTAAGCACGAAATGGTCAATTTGTCCTTCGTTTGCCCCGAGTGGGCGAGCGAGGCAAGAAAATATATTCATCGGCGAGACGAATATGGCAGATTTTTCTACTTTGATTCTTGGCTAACGTTTGAGCTGGATAACGGTAATTCGATGAGTCAATATCTGTTCAGGGAACAGTCATATATTACGTCGTCAAAACTGGCCGGTTTTTTAATTTGTTTTCAATTTTGCAAATTTTTGTTTTTATTCAAAACTCAGTCAAAACTATTTCTGATGGAAGATTTTCATTCACATTAAGTCATTTTCTTTCAAAGCAATATCGCACTTCATCAGACTTCATTTCTTACTTCGCCCGATGAATTACATGGATAAGCATAGGGTGAAAAATGACAGGAGTGGACAATCCCTCATTCATAGTCATTAATGTGAATGATGGAATCTTTAAGTCATTTTAATTCAAATGACAGGAATTCCATTGTTTGTGCAGTACCATAATCAATCAAATGAATGAAACAGGTACATATGCCGACCTGCATTTTTGATGACGTAATACATATAAATATGGGCGTTCCCTTAACCCGTGTGAAAATCGTGTTTCGAATTAGCCTTGATTCTAAACACGTAGCCGGAGCAATGGTTTGTGCAGAAAAAGTGTGAACGATTCTACATACAACTGACTGGTATATTTTGCAGAAAGTTTTAGCATAATTCTGCATATTTTTTGCACAAATTGTTTCTGCATAAAATCCAGCCAATCCTATGCATGAAATCCTTTAAATTTTTCACCCGGGGATGCAGCTCTTTGTTCGCACGTTACGGCCGTACTCCCGCCCGACCAATGGCCACCTCTGGGACCATGCGTGACAAATATTGACGCGTCATGGACTGGTCTTTCAGCGGGGGATGCTAGAAAAATTTCAAGGTTAATGCCCGCCTTGGAAACTCTGGTAGGCGCCGTTCTATTCTCAAGAGGGGCTGATCCGAACGGTGAGAAAAGCATGTTCATTAATAGGAATCATACCTGGTTAAAAAATTACTTTTCATTCAAAAATTCCGAGTTCTGATTGAAGATTTTCATTCACATTCAGCTCATCAAACTTCATTTTTTACTTCAGTTTATTAAGCATAGGGTGAAAATGAAAGGAGTGAAAAATCCTACATTCACAACCATTAATCTGAAATGAGACGAATCCTTCAGTCCTTTTGATGCAAATGAAAGGAAATTCATTAGCATGAAGTGAAATGAAATGCGTTTGAAATAAAATGACGGAATTTGAAAGAAATTTTTTTGTCAGAAATGGGGATGACTGAATTTTGAATGAAGAATCAATTTTTGACCAGGTATGCACTCAGGGTTCGCTACCCCTGGTTTTTGTGGGTTGGGGTCTTTGAAATTTTTTGTGGGTTTTTGGGGAATCAAATGGCCGGAAAAAAACCCTTCTTAATTTAATTTTTGTGGGTTATTCAGAGCCTAAGTGAGTAGCTGCGGGATGGGTACTTTCCCCAGGGCCGGGCCCCGAAGGGGCCGGGCCATTCGGGCTTACTTACAAATTTGCATAAAAAATATAATTTCATTTAATAGCTTGGCCACATTTAGATTTTGCGAATTCCTGTTAGGTTACAAGTTCCACGAACAACGAAGTTTTCGGGAAACAGCCCATTTCACAATTTTGGCATTCTTACTTATTTAACAATTGTCTTGTTTATTTATTATTCTTGATCAGCGTACGCTATGGCTCGGATGTGGCGCATCCATCCAAACCATGGAAAGTCAGCGATTGGGTGTTCTATTTTTAGCTGCTCACTAAAAAATGTATTGGCACATGCTAAGATTTTGAACGGATCGAGATAATCGAGATCGGTTTGCGGCATCATACATATGACCCAAGGGGGAGGGTTTCATGTGTGAATTAAATTTGATTAAAATTTAATTATTCCACGACCACACCCCCAGATGCAAGGGGAGTGGTCCGATTAATCCCAAAAATTGATTGGATCCTCCACCTTGGGTCATATGTATGATGTCGCAAACCGATCTCGATTATCTCGATCCGTTCAAAATCATAGCATGTGCCATTACATTTTTAAGTGAGCAGCTAAAATTACAACATCCAATCGTTGACTTTCCATGGTTTGGAGGTATGCGCCACATCCGTGCCATAGCGTACGCTGTTCTTGATGCTTGTTAAAGTACATGCACAGTACCGGTACATGAATCGGAATCCGAGCTCCACGTCGGTGAAATATCGGCCGCAGCCGATACTTTTACCGTTAATTCTCACAATGCAAGTCTTTTACATGTACAACTCCGATTTGGATGAGACTGGCACCAAAAAATCAAGCAAAAAATTAGGAAGAACATTTGGTTTGCACTTTTTATAATGCTCAGGTTGTGACGAGAGATGACGTGACGAAGTGACGAAAACGGGCCCGTGCGAGCCCCATCTCACCGCTTCTCTCGTCCATTGCTCTCTGACCTCCTCATTGCTCCTCTCCTCCTTCTCGCTCGCTCGTTTTCACAACTTCATGCGTTCTACATTTTACTTTAGCATACAAATTTGGTATTATTTTAGAACTTCGTCCAAGAATTCTTCGACTTTGCTCCGATTTAGCTTCCCAGATTTTGTACAAGTCACGTACAGATTAGGGGCCAAAAGCATCGTATCCAGTATTCGGGGGCCGAATTTCCCATCAACCTCTTGCAGGCAAATAAACAATGGGTCCAATATTTCGCCGGCATACGATATGACATACTGAACGGTATAACTATGCGTGTACTTATTTTTGGGTGACATGCAGGAGCCGAACGTACATATACCTTTCCCCCTTTTTTGACAAAGTTCTTGTTGAAGTCATCTCATATCTGAAACCTGTTTGGTCTGTGTTGAATATTTTGTCGGGGCTGAAGTTCTGCAGCATGGGAACTATTTGATTCCGAAAGTATTCTGCGTCATTCTGGATTTGCTCGATATCTTTTACCTCGCGGAAGCTAACAAGTTTTTGAATTTTTCGAGAGACTATCTTATTACGACGTTTAAAGACGGTTAACCAAGAATGCGATGCTTTAAAAACGAAGCCGGGAAATTCAGACGCCTTTACAATAGCCCATTTCTTTAAATCCATATCATGCACGGGGAGGAATTGCTCTCTGCATAGCCTAAATTGCGCTTTTTCCACCTCGTTAAGTAGTGTGGTTGACGAACTTTCGAGAACTGTTGTTTAAAGGTTGAAAATTTCCACTTTTTGCGATTCTCGTTAACCTCCACGGCCCTTTTCTTGTACTGCAGCGAGATTTCGGACGGTTTTAGTTCGGCTCCATGTTGGTCTATGTACGGTTCATTTGATTCGTTGTTATTGACATCTTCTCCTGTATATATTTAATAATATTTAAAACTGCTAAGGTTACTCGCTCTTAGGAGATTTTACCATTCTCATTTTCGTCGATAAATACAAACTCGTGAGTGATATCGTATAATTTTTCCAACAATAATTCTGCAATTTCCTCTTCTTCCAAATTTGCTATTTTTTCTTCATATGAATATGTATTTCTTATTAGACGCACCAATTCATTAGCGACTTAGTGATAGAAAATTAATACTATCCATTGTTAATTTCACTACTTTTAAAATAATTTGCAACAACAAGTCTATAAAATCAGTGA